AACTCTAAAATTTATCGTAGTATCATATGAATAGGCGCTTTTCTAAATACCTTAGTTAACTGAGCATTATGAATTATTTGGATGCTGTCGTGCAAGTTAGCTGTTATCTGAGTTAATATCTATTTCACTTGTTATGTGTAGAACCTTCTGCCTTAAGTCTATGCATTTAGGTCACTCCACGAGTACTCCATCATCTGGAATGAAGCGCACTAAGACTGCCGTAGGCTCACTAGCCTCTCCTATACCCTCAACTGTATCAGTTTTGGCTGCGCGGAAAGCAGTTCAAAGCACGAAGGACTTGGTTAGTTTTCTAATCAAGTTCCATCAATGTACTATTCTTAATTTTTGCCACGTTGAGCATTGTGTAATAAAGTTTTCGTCAGCAATTCTGCTATATTACGCGGGGATGGACTACTCAGAAAAATTTGGGGGTGCATGGTGTATTTTGAATGATCAAAGTACGCTATATAAAATAGTAATTAGATTGGAAGATGTTGATATAACCTTCAGCTTCAATCTCGCCTTGTAAATAAGGAAAATGATTACTCTAAAATCGCGAGGAACACTCTCTTGGCAGTATAAATGTGCGATTTGAATGTTTGTGAACATATTCGATCAGCTTCTAGATTTCTCATTTTATAATCGCATGAAAATCGTGTCATTTACTTCGGGTTTTCCCGATGTCAGAAAAGCTATCACGAGTTGCAAAAAATTGAGCAATATCTTCTGAAAAATTCTATTTATCTGGTTTTTGAAGGTGTAGGAGTCTCAAACTGCAGGTTTCGAAAAGTGTCTCTTTACTACCCGAAGCGGGGTTATCAGTGGTAGTTAGGGTTCTTTCGTAGATAATCTTTTTAATATTAGGATCCCGCAAAATCGAAGACTGTTGCTCAAGAGCTCATGTTGTAAAGACAAAAGCTTATAGGTGGCTGAGCTAAGTCAGAACCTACCTGAGCACATGAGTATAGATTCGTCTATTCGAGAACATGAAGAAAGAGTGAAGCGCGAGCAACAAGATGAAGAGGTTGGCGCCATATTCCATATGCCATTCGAGCAAATTAGGCAGGAAAAACCAGTGTCTGCTTTCAGTATGCAATGCAGTTATATGGTGGAGCTTCAACGAGCACTCCTTATGCGCAGCCTGAGCGAAAAAAGCGAAAATATGAGCGAAAAATGAAGGCTCATGAGGCATCACACGAGTCGCCGGCAGGTAATCTTTGCACTCATATTGGAAATCCTCAGCTGTTTATTTAGCATTTCTATTGCCAATAAGTGAAAAGATGAGAGAAGTGTATTCTAGAGAATTCTTTAGCGAATTCTGGCTCTGGTCGCTTGATTCTCCGCCTTCCTCGTGTTGCTCCAGTGAAGGAAGAGGTTGAAGAGGTATTTCTATTAAATTTCATCAGTGTTTTGGAGCTAAAATGAATTTTCGCAGAGTGCTCAACAAAGCTCGTCGCGTCCTTTATCTTCGGTGGGATCATCAAGACCCACTAGTTCCGCAACTGTTGTTCCCAACAACGAGGGTCGGGGAAAGGTGGATTGGTTAGCCATGTTGCCGTCACTAGAAGAGTTGCGTGTGAAGGCTGATGAAATGAAGGCTGCGAGAGAGCAACGAAACAGTATGCACCATCATCCCACCAAGGTGCTTATTTTCATTCAAAATATTGCTTAAAACTTCTTCTTATAATTCTTCTCTAGGCGTATTTGATTCACGTGAAGGATCGTGACGTTCTAGCTCTGCCATATTTGGACGTCCCTACAGTTCCCGACTTTATTCAGTACAGGTTTGTTTTTCCTTATTGCT